TTTAAAGTAACTAAAACGTTACTTTTCACAGTAACGCATTACTTTTTGATGTAAGTAACTAGTAAAGTAAATGAGTTACTTTTGAAATGAAGTAACTAGTAATGGTAACTAGTTACTGGTTTTCAGTAACTAGCACAACACTGGTGTTTACTGGTGTTTGCACATTGATCCACAGCCAAAAGTCCAACTTTTCCATTTAAGAAGCAGGTGCTTTTTTCATTGCAGTCAGAATCAGAATCTGTTTTATTACCAAGTATGTTTACACATACGAGGAATTTGCTTTAGTATATGTGATGCCTACAGAGACACATACAGAATAATACGCAGCAAAACAAAACAAATAAAAATAGGACTGTTATAAACTATTTTAAGACTATTATAACAAATTAAAAATATTTACATATGACAAACACTACTATATACTGTATGTAAAGTGGAGAGCTGTGCTGATTTAAAAGAGTAGCGTGGAGTCAGCCTCTCCTGGTTAGGTGTCCTATATTGTCCATAATTCAGGATGTTTTACCCCGAGCCGCATTATCCGCAAAGGTCTCATCCTCACCAAACCAGGTGATAAATGAGCTGAATAAACGGAATTAAGAAGTTTAACATTACAAATGTGCTTTTTTCTGATGCCGTTTGGCTATCACTCATGTTGGCCCAGCTGGCTTATCTGATACCTTAAAGGTGGGGTAGGTAATTCACTTCAGAAACACTTGTTATATTCCATGGAATGCTCTTAACATCCCGATAGCAATGAATACATGAAATGCTTTGACAATAAATACATAAAAAATGTCATCTCTGGAAGCCGTGGCGCTGTAAAAGCACGACCAATCATTTTCACCGGCCCGGCTAAAGTAACTGGATGGCCTACCTGCCTGTCAGCCTTCCATCTGTGCACAAACTTATCTTGTGCCCTCATTGGTCATGTGCGCATTCGTTTGTGTTGGAGGAGGGGCTCTGTAAGGAAGTCTGAAGGATGGGGCAGATTTTTTTCGGCTGTGTAGTTTCAAATTCTAGCGCACTCGAGCTGGTTTCTCCATTCTTACCTACCTACCTTTAAGATCAGGACGTCGGATGAGAGAGTAAAAAATTACCAAGATCTGTAAGATCTACTGTAAAAATGTGGATTCAAATTCAAATGTGATAACAAGTCCATTTAGGACAGCTTTTGACAGAGAACCACAGCAATGACGCATGGATAAAGAAGATACATCACAGGCAAACACATGGAATATACCGTTATATTGATTTAAAGAGAGAGAGAGATTTCTCTGGCATTTGGAATATTGGAAATATGTTATGTATTTCATGTGTACAAATCAATAGAATATATGTCTAGTCGTTTTTGGACATGCAGAATTGATAGCAATTGCAGCCACAGTACATCTATGTGTGAGTGCATTAGCACAACTGGTGTTGAAAGGGCCCAACTCTCCATTGCTTGATTTGAAGAAAAGAATGAAACATTTAAGGGAACAACCTTTCTTACTGGGATTTGGATGAGGAAATAAACTGTATATCATTCTGATGTCCCAGCGGTACATTTGAAGATACCGCCAGCAGCTGATTAGTTTAGCATTGAGCAAACACTAAGGCAGTTTCCGCTGGTTGCCTAGAAATTGTCCAGTTCATCTTAAATTCAACAAACCAAATAATCAGGCAACCAAAACAGAAAAAGAAGAAGCTGATGATTACAGAAATGCTCAAGTGTCAATAGAGCATTTGTACCCCTGTCATTATGTTGTATGTGTCCTTTTGTTTTCTGTTGTATTTCTGTTACATGTGTAACCAATGTGCGGCAGGTCTCCCTTGTAAAAGAGATCGTTGATCTCAATGGAATTCGTAGCTGGATAAATAAAGGCTACAAACAAACAAAGAGCAGACTGGCATGAATGCTGTTGTCAAAGTGAGAGAACAATGCATCAAACTAGCAGGATGTGCACCTCAAATCAATTCCACAGCCTTCCTTTGCTAATCAAACTAGCTGCCAAAAGAGCCCTCTTGGTAGCTACGCTTGGACATCAACCTGACCGCCTGATTATGTTTGCAGCCTTTTGAGCACAGCGCTGCTCTAATGTAGGCCATAGGCTGTTTTCCAAGAAGCCAACAGATACTGTTTCTAAGAGACCTGACAGGCAGCAAGAGACATCTAGACTGTATGTCAGCATCCACAATGCAGTGCGCCACGCTCTGCTCAGACTGATCTCAGAGCAGCTCTCTGACAGATGAGCAGGTTGGGAGAGAGGCAGCTGCTCTAAAAGGAGTGTAAGTGATGCAGAATGGGCGCTTAAAGGTGATCAAACTTTTACATTAACACTCTTTTAATGTGTGTGTGCCGTACACCCACTTCTCATCCACTCCATATTAACTGTATATGTTCAGCTGAGGAGTGTTTTACTGCTGAATACTTCAAATTAGGGATGCACGATGATATGTGACACATCTTGGAATTTGGCAGATATCGGTAGAGATACAGTAAGTAGCTCTGAGGATGTGCTGATGATATTACCCTTTAATTATGCACACGTGAGGCGAACCGTTGCAAACATTGTCGAGGTTCATCTTCACACAGAAGAATCTACCTCCTACTTGAGACTGACTTTAAGGTTATAGAACTCTGTCCTTCAGCATTGTTCATTGGACTAGTGAGGGAGGGCAACGTTTCCCCTGAGGATTGAAGCAGCTAACATTTAGCTTGGATATAATGCATCTGGTTTGCACCACATCTTGCGGTTACAGGGTTGTTCGTAGCACCTAGTGCGCAGATGAAGCCTAGTTGTTAGTGTACAGTTATAAGGATAAGCAACACATTGGGCATCTCTTTTTAAATGATTTACTTCAGTTATTATATTATTACATTTAAACAGCCTACCAGCGAAGGCCAACAAGAGGGAAAATATCAGCATATGGAAAAAACTCCATTATCCTGCTTCCATACATAAAAACACACCTTTGCACCAATGAGCATAGTACGACTGTATTACTCTCCTCGTTGATCATTCTGATGATTATTTCCTTTGATAATTAGTTGTCTATAAAATGTCATAAAAGGTAAAGAATCAAACATTGTTTCTGAAAGCCCAATGTCTTCATGTGTTGTTTTATCCACTGCTCAATACTCAGTGAAGAACACAGACAATCCACAGAGAATTCTTTCTGTTTTTGATAAAAAAATTACTCAACCAAACATTTTGAAAAAGGTTGCTTTCATTTAATAATTGACAACTAGGTCTTCATCTTAACAGAGTGGATCTTTTCATCGGTGTGTCGTAATGGTTATTATTGAAGCACAGCTGTTATATATTTGTTTTGTGTAAGTCATACAGAACTGGCACCTCACCGAGGTGACAGGAGGTTGAGGGAACTGACTTCTGTCTGATAATAATGATGGGATCTCTCTCCTCTATCTCTCTACCATCTCAGCCTTGAGAGGTTCTGCCCTTTTTCTCAAGGTTTCTCTTTTAATTGGACAGTATAGAAAAGGAATTGTCCAAGAACGTCTCTCTGAACTTTAATAGAGTAACTGCTGTGAGCTCTGACCAGCTGCTGTATGGATGAGAAGGACATACCACTTACAGCCGGGGCCACTCATTACTTTATAAAACCACTCCCTTTTAGAGAGATCTGACTAAGAGCTGGAAACTTTTTGAAGGCAATTGACAAAAATGTGAAACTTTAATTAGGTTATCCTAACACATGAATCCCCGTGGTGAAATGACCTAATCCGATCAAGTTTTGCCCGTTACTTGTCCAGCACATGATGATGACTCTGGAGTGAAAGTGGATTTCTGTAGCCTATCATAGAGATGCAGTGCTGTGCTTTCGTATGCACATCCAAGAAGCTTATTTCCCATGCGCTGACAAGAAATCATAAATTAACATTACTTCCATGCATGACACTAATCGTGTCTTAATTATGCAATTAACTATCTCTCTTGAAATAGTCCATATTTCAAAGGGTTCATTCAGGCATTCACGTGTTCTCTCGCAGTATGAGCACTTTCTGCCTCGTATTTTCTGCATGGGGGCTAATATGAAGCGGATACTTTGTATGCTGTCAGTGTATGTTGTGTGGGCGTTATTGTGTGTGATGAAAATACTGATTTAGGTTGAATCAGCTGAATTTATTGTTAACTCTGGATAATAACAGCTGTCGATTAGTGAAAAGCAGAGGTGCAAGAAGTACTCAGATGATTTACTTAAATAAAAGCAGCAAAACTACAGTGTAAACATACTCATTTACAAGTAAAAGACCTGCATTCAAGCATACATTCAAAAGTATTAGCATTGAAAAATACTCTAAGGACCAAAAGTACTCGTTATGCAAAATAGTCACACTGGATATCTATTATACATTTCATTTCATTTTTCCATCACGGCTACAAAAACCGGTAAAGTGTACATGTTTTGTTTTATAATAATTGCCATGAGTGAAATGAACTAATATATACATTTACATGTATTTAATACAAATTATTGATGTATTATTGTTTTAATCACTTAAATATAAAAATTGGTAAAGGTGGGGTTTATTGATTTATTTGAATCAATTTAAATAAATAAACTCAATATGTTTTAGAAAATGTAATATAAAGTATAACATTTACCTACAAAGCGTAGGGAGTTAGAGAAGTATAAAGTAGCATAATGTGAAAATAGTACACGTACTTATTTAAATTACACCACTGGTAAAAAGTTAGGCTCCAACATTCCCACCACACAAAATCAACATTTGTTAAAAGAAGACAACATGCACAATATGAAGTGTATAGATATACATCTAGTTAACAGCACACTCATGGTAGAAACTTTGACAACTTAGCTTCAGTATCACAGCACAACTTTGTCTATATAACAAGCTAGTGCTGGCTTGTAACGAGTAAAATACGACACTTATAGTCAAATATTAACAAATATATCTGTATCTCGAACTTCTAAAGTCGTATTTATTTCGAAAGGGTTTATGGGAAAGCGTGCATGACTTTTTCATCACTTACCATCTTCGTTTTCGTCGAAGACGGGTCTCTTTGAAGAACTGTTGGCTCCCATCCTCTTCTTCCACTTGCCCCAGTGAAACATTGATGCTCAGATAGCATTCCTCGCTCCTTGAGGAGAAACTACAGCTGACTACCTCCTCAAAAGATTCTAACCATACATTTCACCCAAACCCGTGTACGTTATTTCGCTTTAAATGTATCCGATGTAAATTCTACCGAAAATGTGAGCGTCGCGACCTAAAGTCTCTCTAAACCAGGCGAGAGGACTGTAGCAAGTACCGACGGAATGTCAGAGAGTTCAGAGACTGTTCGGTTATTACAGTTGTTAGGTTAACGTTCCGTTAATCACTCGGCACTGGTAGTTGTCTTCCGATGCCTGCCAGCCAAACCAAGAGACTTCTGTTTTGTCGGGGCTGAGAGTAGAAGCTGCATGAAGTTAGAAAGAGTTAGCTAAAAGAAAACAGGAAGTCAGGATATATCCCCTTCCAAATAAAAGCTTAAATGGATTGCAGATATGCTGCATTAAACTGCAGCATGTTTCGAGTTTCGTATTCATATACAGCTGAAAAATTACATATAATTCAGTCATTTTAGAAGACAATTGACAGCAAAGCACGCTTCAAAATGATTTAATCATGATTAAATGACTTAAATGATCGAATCTTGACAACATTAGATGGTAGCTATGAGTGTGATGATCACCAGCTAGATAGTTTATAGTGTACTCTATTGTATAGAGCACGTAAGAAATTAAGGAAAAGGAAAACAAGATTTACATCTTTCAAAAACCCTTCTTTGTGTAATACAGTCTATGAATGAAATCTGTGTTTTATATTTACTGCGAATGAGACTTTTATTGTGAAATGTATAACCGGAAGCCACTCTCTAGTCCTCTAACTAACTTGTCACTTGTGAGAGTAGTTGTGACAGTTGCTGGCCAGTGACTGTAGTCGACGTAGCCCTGAATCACAGACTGTGGTGAATTTCAGCACATAAGTACCAGCCTCTGTTGGTGATAGCTCACTACAAACTGAGGGGGACTTCTCAACGCATGTTACCAGGAGATAACTGCTATCCACCAGCCCAAAAATAAACCTCTGTTAATGTTCCCACAATCTCATTAGGAGATGGATGGGTGGTGCCCGGATCACTGAGGGAGAAAAAGGGATTTAATACGTTGTCTCTGTATATGAACACCAGCTCTATCTGCTCTGTTACACTAACACATATTGAAAGACATATATTGATGTTCAATGTAGCTCCGGCATGTGACCTGCTCACATGAAGGAATCATTGATGCGTTTTCAAAACAATCTGGTTGATGCATTATGGATGCAGTTCGCCTTGTTTGCACGTGGACGGTTGCCGTAGTTTATGTTGACCTCGTTGCCATGGTTACGACGTCGAAGTCGTGAGACGGTATCTAATAGTTAGCATGACAAAAACTATGGCATATTATTCTTAGTTTTTATAAAGTGTTTATTTTAAGAAGACACCAGGTTTTGCCCACATGATAAGAAGATGTTTACCCACATTTCTGGTAAGCTAATACGGTGGTTGAATGTACAATAGTTTAATTGTTTACTAATGTTAGCTAATGTTAGTTAGCATCAGTGAATGAAAAGCTACACTTACCTGTAGGCAGTTGTGGAAGAAGTACTATGCATTCTAAATATAACTCAATTAAAACGACAAACGTATTGGCATTCAAATGAAAGTATCTACTCTTTATGCAGAATGGTCCTTTAAAGGATCATTTTATATACTTTATGTATGCATTAATGTGTTCATCTCTTTAATGTTGCAGCTGTTAATGAAGGAGATCATTTGCAATACTTTACGGGTGGCTTAATTAATAATAATACATCATCATTTATTAGCTTCATGACACATCATTTGCATTCATAATCTTAACCTACAAAGTCATTTAAAATGTCTGATTAATAGAGTGGAGATAATTAAAAAGCAGCCCACAATATGTAGCTTTAAGTGTAGTGAAAATACTAAAGGAAAGTACACACAGTGGTGGAAGAAGTACTAATAGTAGTAGTATGTAAAAGTGGCAATACTACACGTTAAAAGTATTGTTACAAGTACAAGTCCTGCATTCAACCTTTACTTAAGTAAAAGTACAAAAGTACCAGCATCAAAATATACTTAAAGTATCCTCCTTATGCATAATGGCACATTTTAGAATTGTATAAATATTGAGTTACTGGGTTAGGGATATTCCTGTGTTTTTATTACTGCTGGTAAAGGTGGAGCTATCTTATATTAAATAATTGATTTATGTTTTGCATTAGCTAATAATCTTAATCCAAAAGTAATTAGCAACTAAATGCTGTCAAATAAATGTAGTGGAGTAAGAGTACAATTGTGGCTTCTAAAATGTAGTGGAGTTAAAGATTAAAGTATACATTAATTGAGAATACTTCAAAATTGTACTTAAGTACAGTACTTGAGTAAATATACGTTGTTGCTATCCACCACTGAGTACACATACAGTATGTCTTACTTGTAGGCTACTACTTGATTAAATGGATTTAGGAACATGTGTTATACAGTCTAAGGTTACATATCACCACTTGTTGTAGGCAAGTTAAAATCTCAGTTTAAGAATGCAGCTGTTTAGACGAGAACAGCAATGTGATTGGGACATAAACATTCTCATTTTCAGACACAGGGAGGAAAAAACCAATGCACAAAGACACCTGAACACGCCGGAACAATGCTCTATGGTCACTGATCATCTCATCAACACCTGTCTCCACGATGTCTTCCCCAGAGGAGGAGGCTCCTGACCTGCAGCCACGTTTTGTGTTTGGGAACAGTGTTGTCAAACGGCAGAATCCCCACATTCTGCCTGAAGATGAAGAGGCACAGGAACCCCCAGAACATTATTCAACTGAGACATTATGTCTGAGCAGAACGCTGCGGACGCATGTCGCAGAAAGTATTTTGAAAAATAGCACACTAAAGGTCAGTTGTGACTTCACTGTGCATTCGTCAGCCCACCTACTTTAGGTACATGCTGTGGTGGTTATCAAGCTAAACAAATCAGTGATGCATCCAGGAAAAAATGAGGCCAACCATTTTATATATCAGTATGATTTGTTATTTGGAATATCAATCATCTCTAACTGCCCATTATCTCATCTTTAGTATTTATATCTTGAAGGCAACCAGATATCCAGTATCCCAGATTCAATGTTCATCCGCTTGCCCAACCTTCTGTGGCTGGACCTCAGAAATAACCACATCGCATCGTTCCCTGCTGAAATTGGCTTGCACAGGTATGAAACTGCTCTTTGAAATAAAATAAACGGATGTATTCCCAATCCCTCATCCACTCTCATGTCAAATTTCAGAACCTTTTGAGATATGATTTCTATTTGAGAATTCTGTTTCATGCCATATGCTCTGGAAATCAAATTAATGTGATTATTTCTGTATAATTTCCTTATGTGTTCAGTTTAAGACTCAAACGTATCCCTGTCAACCATGTAACAATCTGTGATTCTGCCCACGCAGGTCTCTGAAGACATTACTTCTGGAGGGAAACCCCATCTCGGAGCTTCCAGCTGAGATGGGTGAGATTACTTTAGTCACCTTTACCAGCAATACATGTGTGCAGCCTTTGACATAACAAGCAGTTCTCCTGTTGAATCACTTTCAGGGAGCCTTACCGGCAGCTAACATAGAGCTAGATTGCATGCAATGAATGTTTATTAATCCTCCTGTTGTCTTCGGGTCAAATCTGACCGATTTACTACTTTCATCAATCATAACTTTTTTCAAATCAATCAAATCAAGTTTTATTTATATAGCACATTTATAAACGATTTTTGGTGGAGCCAAAGTGCTGTACATATAATAAAAATAGCCTACAGAAGAGACACTTTACAGCAAATACAACAGCACAGATTGTTCAGAATATCAGTATGAGAAAAACAACACCCTCTATCCTTAGACCCTCTATCCTTAGACCCTCACATCGTACAAGGAAAAACTTCCAAAGAAAACCCACAGTTTAAAGGGAAAAATGGGAGAAACCTCAGGGAGAGCAACAGAGGAGGGATCCCTCTCCCAGGACGGACAGACGTGCAATAGATGCCGTGTGTAAATCGAAGAGATAATACATTTTACAGCATATAGACCGAATGTTAGGAAATGCATGTGTCTGTAATAAGAAGATGAATCCACGACGATGTCAGCTACAATCCTGTGGAAGCCATCAGGGAAGCAGCATGACGAGACCCAAGGCAGGACTGCAGGGACAGGTTCAGCCACGACCCGAACGTTTGTTTATATTTGATTGCATTGAGGCTTTATGATATCCTTCACAGTAGACCTTTGAACATATACAATAGCTGATCACCACTTTCATTGAATTTTGGATGATTTAGTCAACTTTGTAACACCATGGTGTTCCCGGTCAAAAAGGAGCGCCATAAAGAAAAGGAATTTGTAACCATGCGGATCAGATACGATACGATACAACACACACACACACACACACACACACACACACAAGATGTGTCGTCCCCCCTTATGTGCCCAATCCCCCCCCATGTGAATCACACCTGGCACACACACACACACACAGAACAATTTGAAACATTTCCCGCTCTTATGTGCCCATCCCCCCACATGAATCACACCTGGCACACACACACACACACAGAACAATTTGAAACATTTCCCGCTCTTATGTGCCCATCCCCCCACATGGATCACACCTGGCACACACAATACATGTTCAGTGTCTATTGTTTGTATATTTACTGCAGTGTTTCATGTGTACCAGTAGTCTGATACAATATGTACAGTTTGAAAGGGTGTTAAATGAAATTTGGTGATGATTAATGGTTTTTGTGTAAATGTAATAGCAGTTAAAACAGGACCGGTTAAATTACCAAAGTAAGGGGGGGGGGACGAAGACAATAGAAGGGTTAATGGAACTTTTCCACAGAGGTGTTTGTCATGTTTTAGTTGTCACTTAAACGTTTGCAAAAACACTGTTGCTGCCATGTACAAGACAATAAAGGTATAAGATGTGACATTACCGCCTTACAATTCAAATAATACTCCAGCTAGCCAATATTGTTGAGTTGTTTACTTACATTATCTAAGAAGTTTCCAACAATTTAAAACCTGGAAATGTGTCAATGATTTTGTATCCCTGTTTTATCCTCTTGCATCAGAATTGAAATTGTCTGCCAGAAGTTGTCATAAATTAACTTTAATTCTAATCCACTCTTTTCTTTTAAGGTACATGATTTTAGTCTACAGACTTCTGGGTCTTAAATTGTCAGAGAAATAATGATTTAATGTATTTACTGTTTTGAATTTGGTAAAAAACCTCCTGATTGATGAACAATAAAGGATTACTGACGAGAGC